CATTAGGTATATATCTACTCAGGCAATGGATTAAATGACCACATTTTTTTGAATTATTGTTATAATTAACTCTAACTTAATGCATTTAGTTTTTTTTATATATAAATATTACCATAATGGGGATAAAACCTGCTGCTATAAGTTTGTACGATTAAGTTTCCTTTATCAACGAATATATGTTGAAAATGTATATAGTCAGAAAAAAACATATGAACTTCTGAATCATCTTTTTTTTGAAGTCGGTCAATGAATGATATTTAAAGTTATAGGTAACAGGTGAAAGATACTTGTAGGTACTTTATTGTAAACTGAGTGTTATTAAGAAATAAAATTTAAATACTGCAGTACATGTTGTTTAACCTTTATTTTAGTTAAAAAAATAAGTCAGACTATAATATTATAGGTATGCCTATTCATAAAAATAATGTATTTCCATATAAAGTGTTTAGTGGTTGCAAACTTAGAGACAGCGATGCATACATACTGACTCGTAGACGTTAGCTTTGTTACAAACAAGTACATATGCAAAAGTACAAAAATATTAGGATAGAACATATTGTTCGCTTTGAGGAAATGATTTAATACATCTTGACATTGTATAGTAAGTAAGGTCAAACTGTTAAGCTAGTTGCTTTCCGGACGATTTGCAGTGCTGTAACACTCCATTGTTGATCGGTCACGATCGCGATCAATGGGTCAGAGTTGACCCGCATGTCCAAGATTGACAGACGGTCACGATGCCTGGATTTCCTTTATACTGTCTTTTATTAGATTTTACTTGGAATAACAATGTATAGTTAAAAATCGATTTGAATATGAAGTAAGGAATTAATAGAAAATCGATTTGAATAGAAGCCATTTACGTGCTATTGTGAAAAGGTCTAAACCAAGTGAATACAAGAACAGTAGTACAGTTGAAGATTATATCTTACTAGCGACTCACCCTCGCTTCGCTCGGGTTCGTCCCTAGCTTGATTCCCCGTACAAACTTTCATTACCATTTTCACCCCCGTAAGTGATGATTTCCGGGATGACAAGTATCCTATGTCCTTTCCAGGGTCTCAAACTATCTTCTTACCAAATTTCATCTAAATCGGTTAAGTAGATCCCGAGATTATCCCCTACAACGTCACAAACTCACAAACTAACCAACCCACAAACTCACAAACTTTACCTCTTTATTATATTAGTTTAGATGTAAAATGCAAAAAATACATGTTCAAATTGGATCGGTAGACTCAGAGATTATCACAATACACTTTCCAATTTTATGTATTATAGATAGTTGTTACCCAGCTATTATAGATACTAGAAATCTGAATGCTTTAAAATTCTCAAAGTCACTTTTTAAAATAACATTATAGCTAAGTAATTATAAACACAATCATTTGCAGTGAAGGACCATACCGCTATACGTAAACGTGTGTTTTATACAGGATGGCCATTGCAGATTCGTTACAGCAAATTAGTCGTCACAATAACTCGAAATGTATGCGACATTCTCTTGTTCTCTTTGTCTTAATACTTTCTTAGATTTACGCGAATATTTGACATCTATACATATAATAAAATTCTAACTCAGCCAGATCTGTACATTTTTTGGAAAATATTATTGAAATAGTCATAGTAGAGGCCGAATCTACAGTTTTTAGATTTTTTGTCTGTCTGTCTGTCTGTTACCGCATCACGAGAAAACCACTGGACAGATTTTGATGAAATTTTGGTATGATGGTAGCTGGTTATCCGGGTCAACATATAGGATACTATTTACCGCGGGAAAATGTCTCATTTCTGAGAAAAAATACTAAAATTGCAATGTAAGAGTATACTAATTCATTCGCCCCAATATGAACTACAGGCGGTTCATTGAGTCTAGGGCTAATGTCGCAGCGAGGAAAGTTGGCATACTAGCAAAGGTCCGACAGTATTTTACACCGGGACAGCTTCTTGTTTTATATAAAGCTCAAGTCCGGTCGTGTGTGGAATACTGTAGTCACATTTGGGCTGGTGCTGCGAAGTGCCATCTGTCAGCCTTAGACTCAATTTAGAGGCGTGCCCTCAGGCTTATTGGTGACCCTACACTGGTAAAAGCTAACTTACAAAGCCTCGATCACCGACGTAGGGTTGCCAGCCTTTGTGTATTCTATAGGTTACATTTCGGAGAGTGTGCGCAGGAACTACACGGCTTGATTCCTCCATCTCCTTTCTACCATCGGACAACCCGATGAACGGCTGGTCTCCATCCTTATGTCGTGGACATTCCACCCGTCCGGACGAAACGTTTCGCTACGTCATTCATTATACGTGCGGCTAAGGATTGGAACAACCTGCCGGCGTCAGTATTTCCGTCCGAGTACAACATGGGTGTCTTCAAGGCAAGAGTGAATAGGTGGCTACTGAATTAGTGTGACTTACCATCTACGACTGCGTTACCACTTACCATCAGGTGGAACGCAGTCAAGCACTAATTCAGAATACAATAAAAAAAATAAAAAAAAAACTAATATGTAAAACCTAAGAATTTGGGTTTTTGGTCATCTGAACGCGGACGGAACCGCGGGCAGAGCCGCGGGCAATGCTAGTTTTAAATAAAACTACATTTTCGGATTATTTCTCTCTCTCCTCTCTCTTTTTTGTCTTGTTGAATCAAAGAGATAATCGTGAATAGTGCATTCCTAATATAGTTGAAGTTGGTACTTCTTAATTTTTTTATGATACATTAGTTGCAGTAACTTATTTTACTTTTTGGTTAAATTATATTTTAGTTTATTAGATTGTATAGATTGTATGTATTTTCAGATCAGGTATATATATATATTATATACATACGTGTTTCCAAAAACAATTTTTAACGAAACAAGTTTTTACCAAGATCAATGTATCTCTAAGCTAAATAAAACTTAATTTCATTTTATTTTACGTATAAATTTTAAAATAAGGCTTTAGAAAGGATATATAATAAAACCTATAACACTATGATATAACCAATCAAGAACTTCGAATCAAAATGTAATGGGCGAGCGGCATTACGGCACATTCTCACGTCCTTAATAATCTCGGAAATTGTTACAAAAACTCAACGATAGACAAAGGAAGTGATACTTGTGCAGAACAACTATGGGACACAGTTTATTAAATTAACTAAGTAGCTAACGTGAGTATGACGCAAAGTGTTTCGCAATTTTACATACCATTACAACTCTTCACAACTCAATGATAATATATGCACGAAATGGCTATTTACATCTTAATGAGTATTTATTCAAATTAGGTAATCGTTTTAAGGCAAAAACTTAAGTTTCATAGTTTATAAGTTTAAAATATCTTAAAAAACTGTTTGTCTTGATATGTAATATATATATATTTTTTGCTTAAAAGTTGTACCTACATAAAAAATATTGTAACACCTCTTCTTATTTTTAACTTTTCGTCAATTAGATTTTGGGTGGGAGAAAAAAATTACGTTGTGTTTACTTATTTAGACACTAGTAACTCACCCTCGCTCCGCTCGGGTTCGTTTTAAGGTTTAGTATAGATTTCTCAGAGATGAGATATTTTCCCGCAGTAAAAAGTATCCTATATATTGAGCTGGATAACCAGCTATCATCATACCAAATTTTATCAAAATCCCTCCAGTGGTTTTTACGCGATGCGGTAACAGACAAACAGACAGACAGGCAGAGAAAAAGTCTTAAAAGTATAGATTCGGTCTCTGTATCGATAATAATGTTTATTTCAATAAGATTTTCCAAAAAATATTTAATGTACAGGAAAATAAATAATGCAAAGGAATTCGGCTTAGTTACAATTTTATTATAAGTATAGATAATGACTAAAATATTGTATTAATTCCAAAATTCCTTCAATAATGGAAACTTTTTTATTCAACTACAACAGCGATGCCATTTTTTTCAAATTGAACATTATTTGGTAAAAATAGATATCAACTGTTGAATTCGCAACCTCTGATATGCACAAGAGAAAAGTTTCTTTGGGCCTCAAGGTAAAAAAGTTTGGGTTAAACATAATAATTTACTAACTTAACTTAAACATAATAACTATAATAATACTTGTATTACAAAGAGGTAAAGTTTGTGAGTTTGTGACGTTGTAGGGGGTAATCTCTGGATCTATGGAACTGATTTAGATGAAATTTGGTAAGAAGATACTTTGAGACCCTAGAAAGGACATAGGATACTTTTTATCCCGGAAATCATACCTTAAGGGGGTGAAAATGGGGATGAAAGTTTGTATCGGAAAGAAAGTTAACGGTATAGCCATAATAAAGCTCGACTTTCTTTTTGTTTTCATTCACAAAAGTGGATATTAGACGCCGATAGTTTCTTCCCTGTCATTTGTACACTAGCTATTATTACAATATCGGTGTGAACTCAGGTGGAACGTTACTTACATTGGCTCGTCGACCTCGTGATTGATGTATAGAAAGTAACAAAGCGATTAGGTGTTATCGAAGAGCTATTATATTATTATTGTTTTGTTTTTATCTGATAATGGTTCTAATTTTGTATCTTTTAAGGAATACTTTTACGGAGAATCTTATATTAATAATGATAATATATGTATATTAAATATCATAGTAATAATAACTTTTCTAATATATTAATTAGATGCTCAAAAATTGTTCTTTTATGTTTGATTTTAATATAATATGATGCCTACATAGCTGTTAACTTGCTTCTATCTCCAAAAATCTATGTAAAAAAATACTCTCAAACTGCAGTATATGTTTTTGTATAACTAAAGTATTAACTAAAATGGTACAAAATTTTAGTTACTTGTGTACAAATATTTATCTTTTAATTGGAAAAAATTAATAACATGCCCTTAAATTATTAGAATCTCTACAGATACGAGCATATGGCAGAAACTCCATATGTCAAATATAAATTAAGTTATTAACAAAAAAAATTATTGAATAACTATCTTTGGTATGCCAAAACGATCAAGAGATTGCCATAATTCGATTAAACAAATCTTACCTTATAAAGTTTATCTTTTTGATACCACACATCTTCCTCCTCCTCCATCTGCGGGGCGAAAGCCTGTGTGAGATCATCGCGGGATCGCGACAGTATGCGCCGCCTAGAAACCATCTCTCCTCCCGTCACCGCTTCGAACGGACCTAGGCTGTAACAAATATTACTTTATTAGTATAATTTTCATCTTCAACAATTCATTCCTCGTTTTTTAATTTTTTTGTATCCTTTTCTATCGTTGCCTGTAAGAGTTTACTTTTAGTGATAAGGCCACCTTTGCACATCTCTTTAATTGTATTTTTTTAATGTATCATTTTCGTGTGCAATAAAGTGTTATAAAAAAACCTCAACTCTAATCATTACTAACTCGCCTTTAGCTTGTTGAGATAACTGTCTTTGAATAAGTTTTTGCAACGCGAGTATACTTTCAGAACAAATCAATGCTATCAATATTATTTTTGAAAGTGAAAAGATCACACCCATATATTTATAATATATTACAGCTTTCCATATATTATAAAAAAAGAGAGAGTTAAGAATACATGACATAAATTAATATGTATATATGGCTATATATATACATATATATATATATATATATATATATATATATATTTAAATTACACCAATGCCATCTATTAATGTTAACAAAAATTAAAAAAAAACAATCTCGTGTACCCAGCAATTATAATCTCGTCAAAAAACTAATACAATTGTCAAACTTTCACCGGGATTAACTTCGTACGTAACACTATTATAACGCAAAACAATGCCTTTGTGAAAGGGAATTTGTTTTATTGTATGTATCGTTTATAGCTAATGTCTTCATCAGAATATGGTCGGGTCTATTCATGGGATATATTAATGTGGGCTCATTTGTCAATAATCCGGACTCTACGCGGAAATACTGACGATCTTATACATACACTAGCGACTCACTCTCGCTCCACTCGGGTTCGTCCCTAGTTAGGTTAGTTTTGGTATTACTAATCGCATAGCTAATAATATATGTATAATTTTCATTTCTATTAAAAAAGCAGACTAAACTAAAAATAAAAGAGACTGAAATAATTAGATTGCAAAATCGAGTTAAAAAATTAAAATGTAAATATACATATATATGTATATTATGTACATTATACCACTGTCTCCCTGCATATATTTTACCTATAAATATGTTCATATTATAAGTCGAAACGTCGCCAGAAAATGAAAAATAATCAAATATCGTGTTAGCTCTCATCACTAATCGCCAACATCTTGTAAGGCTACACGCTTCCTTCCGACTAGAACAATATGTGGCATTGGGATCGGCATTGGCATTATCTATAGTACAGTTCCTCCCATTCATCGCTTTGTTTATCTTGTAGTGCAACAATGGCTAGTGTTGTCGGAGAAAGTATCGATAAGGGTCTCTAACACAATTGGTCTAATGTAAATAATACCGATATAGGTTTGCTTTGAACTATGTTTTTCACATAAACCTATATGTATATAAGTATACATATATAAGTAACAAAACGTTACTTAGAAACCTTTGAAATAAGCTAGCGAGTATGTGAATTTGTATTCTGCGAGTATGTATGTCTGTCACGTTGACTGCTCAACTGGTTTAAGCCAAATTTTCAATGCATATTGAAAAATATAATATACTGCCTTAATATTATGGCTAGTTTTAACAATGTATGTGAAGCTGGGGTCATAAACTAGTAATATTAAAAATGCGAAAGTGCCTTGTCCATTTGTTATTTCTTTTATGGCATCCTATCGTTTATCATATCATTTTATTAACGTAAATAATAAATTAATATATTTTTATACCTACAAGCTTTTATGTTATATAAATTGTGTAATGTAATAAATGGGTTTGATTTTACGTAAAATTTTTATTTTTTAGTTGTTTATTCGTATTCTTCGCAGCAAACCCTTTCATTTGATATCCATATCATGGGTGTGCATAAAAAAATCATAGTCCGCTATCTTTGGGAGTCCGCCATGTTGGATTTACAATAACGTCATTTATTTAACCATGCACTGTCATCTAAACTAAACGTGTATGCAAAATTTTAACTCAATCGGTTAAGGATAACTGCTTTAAAATTCAGTTGCAAGATTCGACCCAAACAAACAAACATACATACATACAAACATTGCAAATTAAATAAAAGCTTATAAAATACATTATACCTACTGTATTTTTTTAGTATGGATTTAATTTAAAAAAAAAATAGATACACATTTGATGTACGTAACAAGAAAAAAATGTATAACTAAAAGCCTTACATTCTAGTTTTTGTGACGACTATTAATACTCGCAAAAAGTAGAAACAGAGTTCAAATAAACGACTTTTTTGCTAAAAATTAACTCTATTTTTGTTAGTTACGCAGGAAGTGAAACTTTCACAGTTTATTTACTGTACAAAATATCATTCGCAACTTGTTACCGCATCCACTGATCGAGATAACTTTGTTTCTCTCATCCGTCTCATACAACAAGTAACAACTACACGATAGAATCTATTGATTCTACCTCTTTATGGTCAAAAGTCAAGTGAAGAGAGAGTTTACAGAATTTTGCAATATAGGTACCTTAGATTATAACAAGTAGTGAGCTCCATGGGATTTCCCTTCGGCATTATAAACAAACGAACATCAGTTTCTATTTTTCTAACTTCAAAATAACAAACTTCCTGCTTTATTTTCAGTCCCCATTTAACTCCTTTAGGGGTTAAATTTAAAAATCCTTTCCTAATGCTCAATCTCGTGTAAAAAACTCTGGCAAAATTCATCAAATCATACTTCTAGATTAGAAAATAGAAGATAGTTCTTTAGAACATACATTGCCTGCCAGTCCCGTTAGTGTAAAAGTTTTATTAAATATGCAAAAGTATTACCTGGTGGGATTAGTAAAAACTGTATTACATATTATTTACCACAAAAGAGAATCGAATCTAGGAGTCTAGACAGACAGACAGTCCATAAGAAACTATTTAGTTATATTAAAACTAATCATAATATTAATTAAATAAGAATTACAAAAACCCTGTTATTACTCTCAAATTAACTAACGAAGCTCTATCTAGCTATAATAATAACAGCATTGGCCTCAGGGTGTGTACGATTACGTAAGTGGATGAGACGACCTGTTTATAACTGGTTGGCCTATATAGAGTCTAGTCGGGGGTAGCGGGTCTTGTCCTTGCATTCGAATAACCTTACTTATTGTTATTAAAAGTATTTTTCATTAATTTTTAATGTTTGAATGATAATTATAATTAAACCTTAAGTTAGATTATGTTAGGCACTAGGCAGTGCTATTACGCAAGGTGTAGTAGGTTTGATTATTACATGAGACAAAAAATTGCACTTTTGTAAGTAATATATACATTAAGATTAAAGTAATTAGTGGACGACAAGTTAAATGTGTTTTGATAAAGTTATTTTTACATATAACTAAAAAGTTACAGCCACTTTCATGAAAATCACACACAAAAAATTTTATTGGATACCTCCTTCTGTTGGACGTACCTAAATTAACTTTTGATCCTTACCATTTCATTTCAAAGAATGGTTATCTGTGATCTTGTTATAATAAAAAAAACTGTAAGATAGCAAATCTTACGTAACGATTAGACGCTTTCGCTATCGCATTAGATCCCGTTAAGACTTCCAGTCACTACATTGGACTATTATATTATCATGAATACGAAAGTATGTATGTTTGTTAGGAGTACTTAAGGAGTACCTTAACGCTAAAACGGCTGGACAGATTTGGATAGAATTTAGTATACAGACTATGACTTTGATTAGCACATACGCAACTATCCAACATCTAGGGACGCACCCGGACGAACCAAAAGGAAGTCGCTAGTCTATATAGATAAATAAATTTAAGGTGTATGTTTGTAATATCAAAATAACAGCTTTTTGCTAAATGCATATAAAATTATATACGATACTATTTGTCTGTTTGTTCCAGCTAATCTCCAAAACGGCTTGACTGATTTTGACGGGACTTTCACTGGCAGATAGCTAATGTTATAAGGAGTAACTTAGGCTACTTTTATTTTCGAAAAATAATTAAGATTCTTCTCAAAAAAAAAACGTATCCAGGGACCCATCCGTGAAAAGCGAGGGTAAGTCGCTAGTATTAAAAAATAAAAACCGTACGATAACAAATCTTACGTAACGATTAGACGCTTTCGCTATCGCATTGGGTCCCGTTAAGACTGGCAGTCATTACAGGACTAGCGGAACGAGTATTCTTAGTTTATTTTTATAACGTGTAGGCATGCAATTACTGGCCACGTGGTCTGATGTAATCGTTTTATCGCTTTACGAGAGGATTCCTTGGCTGGATATTAAAAAGCCATCCCAGTTTATTATGTGTTAGAATGTAGATAAAATATTTTTTTTGACATAATTAGATTGAGGATTTATTTACTTGTTCTAGTGTGTTGTATAAAAATGTAAATTTTTACTTGATTATAATAATTAATGAAGAAATTATGAAAAAATTGTTTTTGCTTAATATTTTTTTTTAAATTATGAATAAATAAGTGATTAAATAAAGTTTTTTGTATATGATTGATTTAAATTTATTGATTAATTCTATAAATAGTACTAAAAGCTTAAACTACGAAGGTTTGTAAGTAAATGTGTGTATTGGTTACATCTTTATATAAATTATTATACTTTATATATCTTAGATTAGTACGTAGTCAACTACTTTTAGTCTACATAGTATTGTACCTAGCAAGCAAGCGAAGCCGCGGGCAAAAAATAATAAAATACGCGTAAAAACTGGGTCTTTTATATGATATTAAAACTTTGATATTCTTAATGATTTAACTAATTATTAACATTAGCAAAAATAATATATTTTAAACTACTATTACAAAAATAATTACCATAGCATATTTTGTGGTTTTGTGCGTTAAACATTACAACACTGTTGAAAATTAAGTAAAAATAGCCGGTCACATTCTTTCTGAACTGCTTTCCAAGTCAAATGACAACGTGCTCGAGATCCTAATTACATATACCTATTAACGTACACCTCAAAATTTTACAGTTCTAGGACTTATGCTTTATGAAATAAGAGGTATAATGTAGTGTTCATTTGAAATAAAAGTTTTTGAAAGATTGGTC